GCTCTCCGCTACTTCCTTGCTCGTGAGCTACAGCAACGTGGTCAGTTGCGGCTTGCGTACGTGGCCTCTGAGGCCAACACTGCTGATGTCTTCACCAAGGCACTTCCGCCTTGTGATCATCAGCGCTTCTGCACTCAGCTGGGTCTTGTGCCCGTCTTGCCTCACTTGCTCTCCTCTTGACCTTGCCTGTACTCTCACATATATATATACCTGCTCTTGCTTGTCTAGCTTTATATATATGTGTGTACTCTTGCATGTGAACTGGCCGTGTGGCCTTGACCCTGTGCTCGGACTGTGTGGTGACTTTGTGATCCACCCTGAGCTTGCTTTGCTTTACTTTGCTTGACTGGTCTTGTGACCCCTTGTTCTCCCCCACTTTGCCTATGGGGTTGTGTCAGAACATTATAGCTTATGCTGTTGTGTAGGCTATAGTGGGGTATCCCATAGGGGGTACAACCAATTAGGGTTTGATATTTGTACTCACTTCATTTCATAGTTCACTCATTTTTCTTGTTCAAATCTTCTCACTAAGAGGGTGTTGCGCTACTTGTGCAGTACTTCGGGCATGGGGCTCGTGCTTGGAGGACGGGGTTCAGTTTTCCTCACTGGACACGCAGGCGCTTCTTCGGTTGACGACTTGGCAACGCAGCGGTCGTCACAGGCTTACACTTTCAGCCTTGGCTTCGGCTCTGTTTCTTGGCGGTCTACCCATTCATCCTTTGTTCTCAGTTCCAGTTGTGAGGCTGAGATCTACGCAGGGGCCATGGCTGCACAGGAGTTATGCTGGCTCACCTACCTGCAGACCGACTTGGGAGAGCGGCCTCGTTCTTCTCTAGTTCTGTACGTAGACAACAAGGCCATGATTGCCTTGTGTCAGGAGCACAGACTGGAGCACTGAACGAAGCACATCGCTCTGTGTTACTTCCTTGCTCGAGAGTTGCAGCAGCGTGGTCAGCTTCGTCTTGCTTACGTGGCCACTCAGGCCAACACTGCTGATATATTCACCAAGGCACTTCAGTCTGGTGATCATCAGCGTTTCGATACTGTTTTAGGCCTTGTGCCTACTTTGCCTCACTTGCTCACTTCGTGACTTTGCTTGTACTGTGATCTATATATATACCTGCATGCTTACACTTATTAGGGTATGATCACTGTACTGGTTGTTGTCTTTTATATAACGCTGCATGTGAACTGGCCTTGTGGCCATTTGCTTGTGCTCGGAATGTATGGTGACTTTGTGATCCACCCCGAGCTTGCTTTGCTTTTCTTGACTGGTCTTGTGACCACTTATTTTCCCCCACTTTGCCTATGGGGGTTTGTCAGATTGTTATGGTGCTTACTTTGTGTAGGCTATACTGGGGTAGCCTATAAGGGGTACAACCTAATTAAGGTTAGTACTTGTACCCAAGTCTTTCATAGTTCATTCATTCTCGTTCTAGATTCTGACACTCCCCGATTTCTGTCGACATGAATTACATTTTCATGCTAGGTGTGCACACCCACAGCCAGAGTCGTTGCTGGGGACCCTTGCGATCCTTCCATATGTTGCGTGCGACTTCCTCACGTTTACTGGTTGGAACCCTGGTAGCTACCCAGTTTCGGGAGGGAAAGTGTTAACACCCCCAACACTTTTTGTACCGTAAGGCCCCGGATAGAAGCGCAGGCCTCGGATAAGCGCCGGCGGTTGTAAAAGGGTGATGGCGCTTATATCCGGTCCTCGATTATAAGCGCACCCCTGGAGGCTTACGGATTATAAGCGCACCCTTGTATTATAACACATTATAAGCGCCTCCCTTTTTTATTTCGACTATTATTATCCTATCTTTTACAAGATATTTTCACTACAACATAATATTTTTCCAATTCTACTACGGTACTAAATCCTACTGATAGTTTACCGCAACATTCACTGACCTTCTCTAGCATCCTATGCATTCTTTTCTTCCTAGCATCCTATGCATCACCATCAACAGTGGCGGAGCCATCTTGGTCGGCCTCCCCGTCCGACTCTGGCTCCTCTACGTTGTTGCAGCAGAATCCATCTGCTGCAATCTCGTCGTCAAGTTCTACTTCACCCTTGACGGAGTCCCGCCGGTGCTGCATGCAGAGATTGTCCTGGGACCCATCCAGAGCGTTGCTGATGCCACAGGTGAGAAACGAGCGCTGAATCAACTCCTTGGGCACGGCCTTCCAGGCCTTGGAGATCCACTTGAGCGTCAGCTCTGGAGGTGGCTTGCGGATGTTGCCTGCCACACATGGAAACACTACATCAATCAGAACAGGGTGGAAATAGTCTAAGCAGACACATCGTACACGTTGAGATTGAGCTCACCACTTTCGGTCAGGCAGTCGACCCCCTCGCTCTCGAACCACTCCTGGTAGAGTTGGCGGACTGCTGCTTTGAATGAGCGGTTCACCGCGACGTCAAGAGGCTGGATCTCAGAGGTGCGGCCAGCTGGTATGACGGCGGGGACGATGTTCAGCTCCCCGGATTTCGCCTTCACAGCATCAGTGAGGTGCCCGCGGTAGGAGTCAAGAACCAACATCACTTTCCTGCCGCGTACTCCGAACCTGGGGTTGACATACGGCTTCACCGTCCCGTCGAGCCACGCGAGGACGCCGTCAGCGTCCATCCAACCATTGGGATGTACGGCGACCACAACATCTGCACATCCGAACAAGGCGTACGGACAGATTAGCATCAGACATAAAAAAAAATATATCACATGCAAATGACACCGTCACTGCACAAGCTGCTCGGCTTACCGGAGGGGAAATTCCCCTTAGGAATTGTCTTGCGCTTAAAGAAGACCCAAGGCTTGAGCTTCTCGCCGCTGGCGGTGCAGGCGAGCATCACCGTCACGAGTTCTTTTTTATAGCCGCCGCTGCGGATGGGCACGGAGCGGATCCCCACCTCCTCGACCGTGCGTTCAGCTGGCATCTCGAGCCAGAGTGGCGTTTGATCGGCATTAATCATCCAGCGGTTGTCGATGCCGTACTGACGGCGGGAGTATCGCACGAACTTCCAGAAGTTCTGCACCTGTGTCTCACACTCTGCAAGGGAAGGGTGGGAGAGACAAACAAAAGAAGTAAATTAGAATTTCGAAGGTCGTAAGCAGCCATAAACGAGAGCGACAGCACAAACACCGACTCACCAGACGACAGCTTCTGGCCCACTCTGGTCTTCGCTCGGGTAGTGAGGTTCCAGCGCCGTCGAAAACGCTCAGTCCACCTCTGAGATCCAGCCCACTTTACCTCAGGATGCAGGATCTTCATCACATCATGTGACCACTTCTGCAATCGGCCGACGGACACGGCGAGACACTTTTTCCGGTGGGCAAGAACACGCGAGTACACCTCGATCTCCATGTCGCGGTACCACGACGCCCGACCACGCCCGTGAAGGCGCTTGCGAGCCCCATGCGCACCTTCCAGCTCACCCTTCCGCGACTTCCACTCTGACAGGGACTTTCGCGAGATACCAGTGTCGCGGGACATTCTCTGCACACTCACAGCTCCGGACTCCAACTTAGCAATCCACTGCAGCTTCTCCTGGGAAGTGTAGGAGTTGCGCTTGTGCGTTGAAGGCTTGCTCCTGGGGGACGGGGGGCGGGCATCACGATTCTGTTTGGAGGGGTGGGGCCGTTTCTTATTCGGCGGGGGGAAACTAGGGACAGGCAGGTCCTCGGGAAGACCGTCGGCCGCCCACCACTCAACATCGTCTTCAGCACCAGTGGCGGATTCGTCGTACGGGCAGTCTTCCGCGTCTACCCAGCGTGGCGACAGACCGGGGCCGGGTTCATCGTCGCCGCTGCGCTCGGGCTCGGAGATGTACGCGTCGAAAGCTGAGTAACCGCGAGGGAGGAGCTGTAGAACGGGCCGACCGTTGACGACGACGATAGGCGGAGCGGGAGGAGCAGGAGGTGCTGGAGGAGCAGGAGGCGCAGGAGGAGCAGGAGGAGCAGGAGGCGCTGGAGGAGCAGGAGGCGCTGGGCGACTCTGCCACTGAGAGTAATCGCGAATGTTGCCAGCAACAGGTCGACGACTAAATAGGAAGTGAGTGCCTGGAAGTTCCGCCATGGCCTAGGCAGGCCGAGGGAAAAAAAGAAAACTGAAGAAAACGAAGAGAATGAGCCTCGTTTGAAACCCTCGCCCGAGACCCCTCCAACTTCGCGGCCCGGTTTCCTCTGCAGGGAAAGGGGGAAAAGTGTCAAGATCCCCCCGCAGAGGAGCTGAGGTGGTGAGGTCAATGCCTCGGTGGAGTGGAATCTTGCCGGGGCTGCCAATTGCGTGGTTGTACAGAGTCGTGCCTGGCACGGCATGCGACCCTGATTGGGCAGTCGCACCCTAAACTACGTGTGCGCTAGCATGGGCCAGATTCATGTTCGATGAATCTGGCCAGGCCAGCAAGGCGTGATGGGCGTGATTCCACGCCTTGTTGGCCATTTCACGCACTTTTCATGCACGGATACGAACGTTCTAGATGTGGATTGAATCCCCTTTTGAAAAAGCTTCAATTTCATGTTAAAACAATACATTTCATTTTTGCCAATTTATAAACGCCGGCGCTTATAAATTTCCTCGATTATAAGCGCACCCCCTAAAAAACAGTGTTTTTTTATATCCCCAGGGGCGCTACTATCCGGGGGCTGACGGTAATTCAGGCTGCGGGTTTTAAAAGCAAAATTCTTTTTTGCCATAATAAAAGCGCCGGCGCTAATGGCCGTTACTCAATTGCAAGCGCCCCCCCTGAAAAAATGAATTTATTATAAGCGTATATGCGCTACTATCCGGGGCAATACGGTACATTGTTTTATTGGACAAGGCGAGGCCTACCTACGAGGGCGGATAGGCATGCAATTCAGCTCAGCAAAAGAATCCAGTGTTGCAGCACCGCAACCAGCCAGCAACACACCCATCTTATGGTTTGCATGCGTTGCTCATAGAGCTGCCATGCCACATTGAGACAGCTCTCTTGACATGCAGAAGAGAGCAGAGCCCTACGAAGGCGGAATGGACACGCGTTTCAGCTCCACAACATATTCTAGAATTGCCCCACCAGCAGCACCACCCTCTCCTCCTCCACCTGTAAACATATCACCGCCGCTGCCCTGTCGGTCCCCCAGATCCGCGGGCACCAAAACTTTTCTCCTCCCACCCGCCCGCATCGTCGCCATTGCCGACACAAGCCCCTCCGTGACCCCTTTGGGAAACGGCCGCACGCCAAACGAAAACACCAGGTCCCGTGCCCCGGGCGCTGTAGTGTCGATAAATGTGATTGCTTCAGGTTCAGTAGTGTCGGATTGTGCTGGTAACGAGACGCGGCCTGTAAGGGAGACGAGCACCAGGTCTCCCTTCTGAGGGATGGCGCCGCCTCCCACTCTCAGATCGGTGAATCGGACTCCATTGGGGAGCTCTGTCTCCTCGGCATCCTCAACATCCCTGGTGATCAGACACGCAAACAGGACAGTGGGGTGTTGGAGGGGGGAGGGGGGAGTAGAGAAGAGGGGACATTAAAAAACAAGAGAGATGAGCGCCACGATTCCTTTCTGGGGAGTGGGTCCTCCCCCACCTCTCAGACCGGCGAATGTGACTCCGTTGGGGAGCTCCGTCTCCTCTGCGTCCTCCACATCGCTGTTGGTGGTGACGTGATAGTAGGGAATGTACGTGGAAGTGTGTGAGAGACATGAACTAAGGCCTCCCTATGAGGGATGGCACAACCTCCTCGAACCTCCTCGTGGAAGTGTGAATCTGACTCCGTTGGGAAGCTCCGTCTCCTCGGCTTCCTCCACATCCCTGGGGACCAGACACGCAAACAGGAGGGTGGGGTGGAGGAGGGGGAGGAGGAGAAAAGAGGGGATATTCAAGACAAGAGAAATGAGCGCCAGGATTCCTTTCTGGGGAGTGGGTCCTCCCCCGACTCTCAGATCGGTGAATCTGACTCTGTAGGGAAGCCTAGTTTCCGCTGCGTCCTCCACATCCCTGTTGTCCACACGCGCAAATGATGCCAACGGGGGGACGGAAAGGAAGAGGGAATGCGTAAGAGACCTGAAACAAGCACCAGGTCTCCCTTTTGAGGTGTGGAGCCTCCCCGCCCCTGCCATCTCTTCCTACCCCGCCCCGCCTTTCGCTCACCGCGTGTTGCTCTCTTCCAGAAAGACCTCGCGGCGCGTCTTAATCTGCTCCGACACCACGCCGAACGCCAGGAACCCCACCCACGCCAGCCCCGCGCCGATGCCGAACCTACGCGTCACTGCCGAAGCTATCCAGTCCGTCGAATCCACGACGCGGCGGGACCGGCCGGCTGATGACGTGGCAGTTGACTGTCGTTGCGTCTCTTTGCCAGACTCGGTATCGCGACCTGCTGATGTCGAGGTGACGTCATTCGAGTCAGCTGTGGTGGGAGATGCGGAAGGGACCGAGGAAGTTTCCGCAGAAGGACCGCCATCGTTGTTAGCGGAAGAGGCGGAGACGCGAAAGCACGGGCGTGTATTTAACGGGTAGCGGCGGATTCTCGTATTAACGAGCGGCGCCGTGAACGACGAACGAGATTTTCCAGCAACTCGGTTCGCGACGCATGGGTGATGGCTCCATGCCGTTTTGGCGGATGACGGAAGAGCTAGCGATAACGCTAAAGCCATGTAATGCCACGTGGCAGCCGCGGTTGTGTGTGTGTCGTGCCGAAGCTGTGTGTGTCTCGTGCCGAAGCTGACTAGAGGCAAGTCAGTCAGCAGGAATTGATTCAGGTACGGGTGGTTCTGTGCTTGTCATTCTGTCAAATTTGGGCGTCCAAGCTGGTTTGGTGGTTGAGTTTGGTTGCTTCGATAAGAGACACAACATGCTTCTATTCTAAGTGATAATAATTAGTGTTCTAAAGTTTGGACCCCATCAGTTTTCTTATTACTTTTCCTGTGTCGCGAAGTTTGCGATGTGGTTACAGGTGTTTGCACTGAAAGAAGCAGCTTACAAAGGGAACTGGAGTCACAGAACTGTACCATACTTCACTTCACTCCCCATCCGTGTGTGTCCACAGTGTGATATCATGCAACGGATTCGTTGGACGACGTCGAACGGCATGTGTGGTGGTGTGGTTGGTCCTACGCGGTGCTTTGAGGCTTCAAAATGGTACAATAAGGTTCCCAGAGGTTTCAGTTAACAACGTGAACAGTTTACTGAAACAGCAATTTATGGACACCATTGCCTCAACTGGCAAGGCAACTGGGCACTGGCCAACCTCAGATGCTTGTCGCTTCGATCTTGCTTGAGGTCACATCAACAATGCTCCACATCAATGTACTGCGGAACAAAAAGAAACTGTAAACAATTTGTGTGTACGTACACAACGTTGTACATTCTTTTATTGCAAAACTTTCCACCCAGAGCTGGACCTTTCGAGAGTTTTGCGATTTTCCAGTTGCAGAGTTGTTTCTTGTTTCACGTTGCAGAGTTGTTTCTCGTTTCCGGGGCGCAGGCAACTCATAAGATTATCCTATAAAATGTAAATCAAAATCAGGCACCCTACCACACCTCCCTCGCTACCCCTCTCCCCCCCTTTTTCGAAAACCGCACAGACGCAAGCGTGAGGAACTCAGAGCAATATTCCCCAGAGGCGCTAATCCTAGAGCTGATCCTGGAGAGTATATCTTTTAGAAAACGGTAAACTCTGGTCTGGAAGATGCTTATTCTAATACAAATGTTCCGGGTTAGAGGCCCTCGCTAAAAGAGTCCCTTTTCCCCCTTAAGTAAGTTTTCCGATATCGCCTAGGTTTGGCCCGACCTTTAACTTTAGAAATGAAAGTAATTGTTTCTATTGACCGTCATTATTTTTCAATCCTGTCGCGCGGTCTCCAGCGCGCTCGACGATGACATCTCATTTATCTCGCTTAGAGGGTAAAACATAAGTTTTTACCTTCTATTGGACACCCAAACCATAATTGTTTCTGTTTTTTTTGCCCGTTATTCATGCGACATTGATCAGTGCGGGGAACCGTGCGACGAGAAGTTGAAGCAAGCGCGGTCCGAATCTACGTAAAAACGAAATCCAAAACTAGTAGCAAACAAACCACTCTTTATGCAATTTCCCTGAAAGGGACTAAAAGTATCGCGTTTTGCCCGGGGTTTGAAGGTTTTCGCACGGAGTCCGCGCGTGGCGTCTCATTCCGTCGGACTAAAAACGAGAACATCTGTAATGTCAATTTTGTGGGAAAGTCCAGGTAAATCCGTGTGGAACTGTATTGTCTGTTGGAGTGCCTATGGTCGAATCTGTCGTGTCTTTATCAGATCTCACACGCACCAAGTTCAGGACCCGTAAAAACAATCACGGTGAACTGTGTTTGTAGCAGAGGATCCTTTCTTCGTATATCCAAATCACACGGGCTATAAAACTATCCTGGTTTCAAAGGCTCTTTAAGATCGATAGCTTGCTCGCGGAGCTTTCGTTATACCGCTTCTTGTATTCGGGGTGTGGAGCCTTTTTCCCCAGCTATTGGCTCCAGGAAGCTGATCATCAGTCCATCCCTCTCCCCTCTTCCCTGCGGATTTTTTTGATCCGAGTCGGAAAAAATCAAGCACTTTTAAGGGATATGTTTCAAGCATCCTGACTGGGAAACTCGAAACGAAATATATATGCAAGATTCCAAACGAGCACAAGCAGCTCGTTTGTTCAATGGGGGTACCAACAAGGCCGAAGCAACGGAGCGACGAAGCTGGTCGCTCCCTAGAGCTTTGTCACCTTGAGATCTTCGTCGCGGTCGCCTCGAGAACTCAGTCCCCTCGAGAGAACACGGTTTTTAACAATGAGCCGCTACTTTCCTCTCACCCCCTAACTCCGTGTTTGGAAGTTGTGTTCAGCTGTTGTTCATGCAAAACGCCTCACAGTCGACTGCTGATGAACAACATGTAGGTTGTTCAAAACGCGTTCTTTCATCACAGCTCCTGCTGGATTGATTCTTGGGTATAAATGTCGTAAAGCTCGCTGCGAAGGAGGAGAGACCTTCCGTCCTCATTAGTAACGCCGAATACGTCTCGGACAGATTAGGAGCACGTGGCGTGACCACTCAGAAGCATTTTTCAGCATAACAGCATTTTATCTGACGCCACCAAGGTGTGCCGTCCTAGTACGTTCTAAGAGCTGGAGCTCCAGCTGCCTCTTTCTCCTCTTGCACATTGCGAATGACGAGCTGTCGTAAATCTGCGACATCGTCCTTCCACCAGCATCCAAGCAATACCTCAATTCCTCAACATCGCAACACCACGATTCCTCTAGCAGAATCATATCCCTCCGGCAAGTCTAGAATCTCCGAAGCAGCATCCCAACCGTGGCTGTGGGATTTGGTCGAATCGCCTGACACCCCGCTTGATTCGCTAGTAGCGACGGGCTCTCAAGAGAATCTTTGTGCCTTGACCGATCATACCATTACCCATACGTTCGACTCTGAAAAACGTTTACGGGCCGTTTCGTCAGACGATAGCTCTTCGATGCCGTCGCGGCGCGCCGGTGCTGTCTTAGGTGCGAATGCAGATGTATGGCGGCCTCCGCAAAGGCCGCCGCATCATGCGATGGATTTCGTTCCCGATCATCCCGCGCCTCGACGGGATGGCACCCAACGAAGCCATTCTTCGAGCATGCAGCCGCATTCGCAGCAAAACAGCTTTGACCAGTACGGCGGGAACGGCGGAAACGGCGGGATCGGCGGAATGAGCGAGGGCGACGGGATTGGCTTAAGCGGCAGATACCGAGCAGCAGTACCGCCCCAGAATCTTCCCCCAGATTTCGACCCGTGGGAAATGGCGAACGCTTGCGACCTTTGGGCGGAAACTTACGAGGCGCCAGGGCCGATCCCCGGAACCGGCGCGCGGGGGCCTGGTGTGTCTCATTTCGACGAAAGCGGCGACGGAAATGCGTGGGCGATTCCAGTCAGCGACGACGAAGATTACGACGACGGCGCGTCGTCACTCCCTCCGTTCCCCGCGGAAGCGCCGTACGAGGAGGCGAATTACGAGTCGACTCAAGAATCAGCGTCACTGCCTCCGCTCATTGCGGGAGCGGGAGCGCCGTACGAGGGCCTCGGCGCGCTGAACCGCTCCGCGACGACACCTGAGCTCGCGACTCCCGCGAGGCGCGGTGGATACTTTGAACCCGAGCCGACGAACTTAACGGCGGGAAGAGCTGAGATGACCACCCGCAAGGGCAGGCAATCATTCGACGCGCGCCTCGATTACGATTCTAGAGACGACGTCGCGCTGACGGCGCGCGTCGGCGGCGGAGTGGCAGGCGCTCACTTAGCGGGAGCGGCTTTTCGCGACGGGGCGGATGGGGCCTTTGTCGCAGAGGGAGCGTCGCAGCAGTGGGACGGCGTCGCAGATGTCGCAGATCATGTCGCAATGCAGGATGCGGCGGCCGGCCGCTGGAGAGCGACGATGGGCGAAGGAGGGGAGGATGAGGAGGATGAGGAGGAACGCGAGGAGGAAGGCGAGGAGGAAGAGGAGGAGTGGGATGAAGAAGAAGAGGAAGAGTCTGAGGGTAACGAGGAGGCGGGAGAGGAGGACGAGGCCGATCTGTGCTTGAATCGAGCGAGGACCCTCCCGTTGCTTCACGTTTCGCGCACCGCGTCGTCGGAAAAATCGGCGGAGCGGGGCTTGCCGGGGACGACGATGGGCGCTGGCAATACGGGCGACGGCCAGGGTGACAATGACGATGACCTGTATCCTGGTGAGTTTCTAACGCGTATAAATTCCTGGTAGTGAGCAACTCTTTCGTGGGGAGGAAAATTAGAGTTTGACATCTGTAGAATATGTATTCTGTAGCGAAGTAAGGTTTGCTTGGTATATCCAACCAGACCCACCCACTCCCCTCTAAACTAGTCGGCACGATTACTTTTGTGATGAAATTTTAGAGGCGCCTCAAAATTCGATCGCTTTCTGAATCGTGATGACCCGCGATTTTGCCGAAGTTGGTCGGTCGCATGCAGCAGATTCTTTCCTAGATGAGCGGGTTTAGAGACCGTTGCGAGCACCAGCACTGCACTTCTTTTCGCTAACTGGCTGCTCGCGAGAACCTGGGACCGCCGTCTTAGCCCGATTGCTTTTGACCGAACTGAACCTTTCGATTCAAAAGATACAGTGCCATTACTAGATCCCGTTACATCCTTCAATATTTCAGTACATCCGCTGTCTCTTGCCGTCCCTGCGGTTTGGTTTCACCCATACTCCTCGTCACCTTGCCATACCTAATCATGCCGAACCTCTTGGTTCCGATCCCGGATCTCCCCATGCCGCACAAATCCCGTCCCTTCCCCACGCCGCAGAGCTACGGGCGTGCCACACAGCGCGAGGGCGCCTGCAGCAGCTCGTGGCGCCTCCGCCTTACGCGCGCGGCGTTGAGTCGGCGGGGTTCGTTGCGCATCACCACGGGCATCATGGGGATCCTCGTTATAAGGAGCATCGCTACAGTCCTCAGGCTCAGGTTGGTGGTCAGGTTCAGGCCCAGGGTGAGAATATGTTTCGTCAGGAGCAGCTATGGGAACAGCATCATCAGCAGCAATCGTGGCACCAGCAGCAACAGCAGCAGCAGCAGCAGCAGCAGCAACAGCAGCAGCAGCAGCAGCAGCAGCACCACCACCACCACCACCAGCATCATCACCACCAGCAGCATCATCAGCCGCAGCAGCAGCGCAGCCAAAGCCATCGCCGCACGTTTTCCGACGTTTCTGACATCATCATGACGTCCGGCCACGCCACAGCGAGCCCGTGCGACCTGCAAAGGTCCCCCCTTCCGCCGCCCCATCACAAAGCTCACACACACGCTGCTGCTGCTGCTGCCGCTGCTGCAAACTATGGTGCGGAGAGGAGTCCGAACGGCCGATTCACAGGGGCTGTAGCGGGTGGGGGAGTAGCAGGCGCGGATGTAGCAGAGTGGGTACCGCCGCCCCCAGGAGCGCCCTCCCCTCAGCTGTCACCTGGGTGCCAACGTCCAGGGGCGGATGTAGCGGCCTGGATACCACCTTCCCCAGTTGGCACCGGGAAGCAACGCGTGCACCGCCGCACAGTCTCTGACCTCTCTGATGTGATGCCGGCTGGGGTTGCTGGCGCTGACATGGCTGTAGCGGCTGCTACAGCCGGCGGGAACGCTGCGGCAGGTGTTGGGCCGGCTGGGCGTGCTGTTGCTACAGCCGGATACGGCAATTCTGACAGCTTTCGTGGGGGCGGGGTGAACGTGCCGTGTAGCAGAAGCAGCAGCGGCGGCAGTGCTGTGCCTGTGATGTTGTATTCAGGGGTGAACAGGGGAGGGGAGGGGGCGAACAGAGGAGGGGAGAGTCGAAGGTGCATGGAGGGAATGGGTGCTTCTGCTTCTGCTGCTGCTCGTCTTGGTTCTTTTAACCCAAAGCAGCAACAGCAGCAGCAGCACCAACAGCAGCAGCCGCAACAACTGCAGCAGCAGCAGCAATCGCCATTGTCAGTGCCACCCCTACATCAGCAAGGTAGCAGACGGAACATGCCGAATTTCGTCCCTCAGAAGAGCTTCGGCAACGCTGCTTCCGTTGGGTCTAAACCTATGCTGGGGCAGCCTCAGCTGAGTATGGACAGGGGGAAGGGGAAGGGGCGCGGAGCAGGAGGGGCAGGGCCAGCAGGAGCAGACGCAGCAGCAGCAGCAGCAGCAGCAGCAGCAGCAGCAGCAGCAGCAGCAGCAACGGCGGCAACTGCTGTCGCAGAAGGTAGCAGTATAGCAAATGGAAGAGGGAGGGGAAGCCTAGGCGCATCTGGGCGTAAGGTTGGGGCCAATAAGAGGCTCAACTCGCTTGCTTCCGTGGCGAAGGCTCTAGGGGCGTTTGAGAAGCAGACTGAGAAGTGGAAGGAGCAGCAGGCGCTGCTAAAAACGCGGGAGGAGGAGGAGAAGGAAGGCGAGGGAGGGGAAGCAGGAGGAGGGACGGGGAAGCGGGAAGGGGAAGGCGGAGATGGGGGGTCAGGGGGAAGTGGAGCTGCGCCTAAGACCCCGAAGGGTGCTTCATTGGGTAGGATATTCACCATGAATCGCTCTGCACCGAGTGGTGGTGGTGGTGGTGGTGGTACCAGTAACAGCAATAGCAGCAGCAATGTCGGCAGCACCGGCAACAGCAACAGCAAAGGCGCCAGCGGCAGCAATGCTGTTCCTCCGAGAACCCCCAAGGCACCAACCTTTGCAAAAGGCTCTCCTGCTTATTCCCCCTGGGTGCCCGCAGCTGCCGCCGCTGCTGCTGCTGCCGCCGCTGCCACTGCTGGTGCTTCAGGCGCTGGCGTTGCTTCTGCTTCTGATGCTGGTGCTTCTGCTGGCTCTGGTGCTGGTGCTGCGTTTCCCGCGCGCGCAAACACGTTTTCCAGAGCAGCAACTACTGGGCTTGTTCCGCCCAAAACACCCACCGCATCGCAGCCGTTGAAAGGTTTCGCAGCACAGTCGTTCAGAGGGCCACAGCAGCAGCAGCAGCCCAAGACATCAACAGTCCAGCGAAGCTCCACAGGTACTTGGGGAGGGAAAGGAGGAGGAGGAGGAGCAGGAGGAGCAGGAGCAGGGGGAGGAACAGCTGGAGTGGGAGGAAAAGGAGTAGGAGGATCGGGGAGAGTGGCACCCCTGAACCTACCACCACTGGTTCTTCAGGAGGAGCCTCAGCTGCAGCTAGTGCCGCCTGGCAGGAGGGCAGGCGCTGCAGCATTAACTGGCCAGTCGACTGGACCCTCTGTGAGAGCTGCTATTACTCCTGGAGGACGGCTGCAGCGGCAGATGAGTGACGATGAGGAGGAGGGGGACGGGGAGAGAGGGAATGGGAGAGGAGCGGGGGCGGGTGATTTGGGAAGATCGGGCTCTGGTGTTGGTAAGCGGGGGGGCGTGACCGCCCCTATGACGCCCAAGGGGAGGCTGCAGCGGCAGATGGATGATGAGGAGGAAGAGGGGGAAGGTGTGAGGGCAAAGGCGGGCAAGAAAGGAGGAAGGATGCAGAGGCAGATGGAAGAGGAGGAAGGTGTGAGGCAGAAGGCGGGCAAGAAAGGAGGGAGGCTTCAGAGGCAGATGGAAGAGGAGGACGACGAGGAGGAGGGTGTAAGGGCGAAGGCGGGTGTGTCAGGAGCTGGTGTGAGCGTTCCAGTGCCTGTTGTTCCTACTAAGGCGGCCAAGAAAGGAGGGAAGCTTCAGAGGAGCCTAGACGACGACAGTGAGGAAGAGAAGGAGGAAGAAGGTGGGAGGAAACGGGAGGGGAGGCGGGTGAACGGGAAAGAGGAGAAGGGCAAGGAGGTGCGGAAGACAGGTTCGGGCACAGGCTCGGGAAAAGCAGGCTCGCCAACGGCTGTGGGGAAAGAAGTTTCAGCTGTTGGTGCGGGTAGGCAAGGGAGCAAGAGAGAGGGAGAGAGGCTGGAGAGGAGGATGGAGGATGAGGACGAGAGAGGGGAGACGACTGGGGTGATTATGGGCGAGAATGGTAAAGAGGGTGACAGAAGCGGGGTTGAGAGCGGTGGAGGTAGGTGCAGTCCTCGGGAGTTGAAGGAGGATGGAGGGAATGAGGGAGTGGTTGTTGGCGAGGGAAGGAAGGGGAAGAACGCTGGGTCTGGTGAGGGGGATAGGCGGCGTCAGGATAGGGCTTCTGGAAGGCTGCAGAGGAGGATGGATGATGATGAGGATGATGGTGCTGGTGATGGTGCTGGTTGTGATAAGGAGAAAGAATCTTCTGAGTTGACTCAAAAGGGTGATAGGCGTGAGGGTAGGGCCTCCGGGAGGATACAGAGGAGGATGGAGGAAGATGAGAGTGATGATGAGAAGAATCTGAGTGGCTCGAGAAGGTCGGCTGGTGGAAATTCAAGGAGCGGTGCCAGCACTCCCAAGGGGGGGAGGAGGGCCGGCAAGAGTCAATCCTCTGTTGAGACTTCTCCATTGTCTCAGAATTTGCCGTCTCAAAACGCCCAAGGAGGGCCGGGTGATCTGTTTCGACGGGCCGGATCGATGGGTGCTGTGGGTGGGGATGAGAGGGGGACTCCTGAGAGTGAGGGGCAGGGAGGAAGGAAGGAGGGGGAGAGGTTGATGAGAAAGAAAGGGAGCGGGGATATGGACAGGGAAAGGAGGTCGAAAGGGAGTAAGGGGAGTGGAGATTTCGAGTGGGATGGCAGGAGGTTCAAGGGGAGTGTTGATATGGAGCAGGAGGAGAAGCAGGCAAACGAGGAGGAGGAAGGAGAGGGGAACGAGGAGGAGGAAGAAAGTGACAAGGTGAAGGGGAAGGAGACGACGGAGGGGGGGGAGCAGGAGGCGGAGAAAAGGGGAGTAAAAGAGGAGAAGGAGGAGAGTCCAAAGGAGAGGCGCAAGGTGAGTAAGCTGCAGCGAAGGCTGGAGGATGATGAGACAGATGAGGAGGAGGTGTGTGTGAAGGAAAGTGCGAAGGAGAGTGCCAAGGAGTGTGAAAAGGGGCGTGAGAAGCATAGGAAGGTGGGCTCTCAGGGAGAGGATGTGAGGAGGATCGGTTCAGATGTGAGAAGGATCGGTTCGGATGAGACAGACGGGAGTAGGATAGGAGGGAGTGGGAGAAGAGGGAGTGGAAGGAAGGCAGGTGCAGCAGGGAATGGTTCTGCTAGAAAGGAGGTTGGGAGCAACCGGAAAAGTAGGTTGGGGGTTGAGGTAGGGAGGGAGGACGGTGGGAAGACGGAGGATGAAGGGGAGAGGGAGGGGGAGAGGAAGAGGAGAGGAAAGGAGGATAAGGCAAGAGAGAAGAAGGAGAAGGACGGGGGGAAGAAGGGTGGGAGCAAAGGCAGTGGGAGGAGGGAGAAGGCCGATATTCCTCTGAAGGCCACACGTGTGTTTGCAGATACCAACACCGATTGGAATGCGGATCCTTCCTCTGCTGCTACTTCCGATGGGCTGCCTTGCAAGTCTCCTAGAAGCATTCGCGAGGGCTCTTTCTTTGGGAGCCTGAGCAGCTTCCGATTCGCGCCTGACGTTCGCTCGCTCTGGTCTCGAACCAAGACGATGAATGAGAGAGATGGGGAGGAGCGGAAGAGGAAGGAGCGGCAGAAGGAGGAGGGGGTAGGAGAGAAGGAGGAAGGGGGGGAGGGGAGGGAGGGAGGGGAGATGGGCCGGTCTTGGTCCCGGACTAGGACGATAAATGAGGGAGATGGGGAGGCGAGGAAGAGGGAGGAGAGGAGGAGGAAGGGGAGTAATGGGGGAGATGAGGAACAGGAGGGGAGAGAGGGTGGGGAGTTTGGGCGGTCTTGGTCTCGAACCAAGACTCTGAATGAGGGGGATGGGGAGGCAAGGAAGAGGGAAGAGAGGAGGAGGAAGGGTAGTGCGGGAGAGGAGGAACTGGAGGGGGGAAAGGGGAGGGAGGGAGGAGAGATGGGCCGGTCCTGGTCGCGAACCAGGACGATAAATGAGGGAGATGGGGAGGCGAGGAAGAAGGAGGAGAGGAGGCGGAGGAAGGGGAGTGGAAGTGGGGAGGAGGGGTGTGGCATCGGTGCTTCTGGGTTGGACGAACTGGGTGTGAACACGGGCAGGAATGGCAGCACTGAGGGGCGAATCAAGCCAAAGGAGGAGGGTGGGTCAAGGTGTGCGGGTAAGGACGGGAAAGGCGTGCGAACTCTCTTGATTGACGCAGGCAGTGATGGCGAGGAGGAGGAGGACGGGAGGGATGAGCAGGCAGAAGGGGAGCAAGGAGGCAAGGAGGGTGAGAAGGAGCAGGGGCAGCAGGGGCAGCAGGGGCAGCAGGAGAAGCTGGATAAGGTAGAGGAGGAGAAGCGCTTGCTGCAGCTGCAGCTGCAACAGCTGGAGGAGCAGCAGAGACAGCTGGAGGCCGAGGTGGACCGGCAGAGGCAGCTGCTGGGAATGAGCAGTGGGGTGGTTGGCAGTTAGAGATGAAACAGGCTAATGAGCAACAGCTAGAGTGGTTGGAGGAAGAGGGTCAGATGGACACTGCAGCTGCAACAGCTGGGGGAGCAGCAGAGGCAGTGGGAGGCAAAGGGGCGGCAGGAGTGATGGTGGGGTGGGGATCAGGCCCCACGATATCAGGGTAAAACATCCTGATTACCCTGATTTCAGGATAGTGTCAGGTGTTTTCCCTGCAATCTCAGGATGTACCCTGTCACTTCAGGATATTTTGCACTGAAGCACCTGGACGAAGGTAGAGGGCTGCCCTGACGCGTATGCAGAAGGGGAAGGGTTGTGGGGGTGGGGGGGGTGATGAGGGAGAGGGGGGAAAGGGGTGGGGGGGTGTGTGTACTGGTTTTGTCTCCTCCCGAGGATTTCGCCACTTCCTCGTCGTACTGTACCATGCATGCACCGGGCTTCCCAGTCATATCGTGCCTTCCCCTCCACCTCTCTCATGTCTTGTGATTTTGTTGCCCTGAAAGATCAGGATGAACTCATGTAGGTGCCCTGAAAGTTCAGGATAGCCATAAAAATTTGCCCTGAAAAATCAGGGCATTCTTGAGAATTTTCAACAGTTGCCCTGAGGGCTCAGTACGCCCGAAATCCTAGCACAGGCCCTGGTGGGGATGCTTTCTAAAATATTTGGGCCAATTACAGCTGTCCGCGTTGGATTATCATCATTTCCTTTTGCGGTTGTTTTTTGTTGGAAACAACTGATTTAAGCGCCTCTGTCGTGTCGAAACACCAAGACAGAAGCGAAGCAGATCGTATCGAAACATCGGTGAGTCAACCCTCGGAGGTTGAATAACTGTTGGAGGTTACGCGAAAGTCAAAGGTCAGCGACCTTTGACCTGACAAATGCAGCGCGACAGCAAGGACAAACAACTGTCTCGATACTGAGCAGTTGCCCGAGTCGACACTGTATCGAACCGCAACAGCAACAGTAAAACAGTTATCAACTGTATCTCTTCATATTCCTTTGTATTCTTATAAAAGCTTGTATCTCTTTTTTTTAATCAACTTACTTTGCCCTCACATACAAGCGCAAGGTGGTTCACAATCCTTTATTAAACGCTTCCGCTACTACATCATCCTACCCTTGAGTTCTGCCCTGCAAAGATCCTAAGGGCTTTTTTCAGCCCAACATGGTATGAGAGCAGTCAGGGCAAATTCGAACGACTCTCCTGGCACTACCCCTACTCCACCTTCTGCCTCTGGCCTACAGACAGAGGAGGGAACGGCAACAAGACCAAGGGCATCATCTTCGGAAACTCCCGCAAATCAAGCCGCGGCCTTCGATCCAGACATGATGGAGAAGTTTTTCTCCTTCATGTCCTTCTACGAACAGCACCAGCAAGGGGCACCTGCACAGTCAAACAACAGCAACAACAACGCAACACCAATGAGCCTAGATGGTTCATCCTACGCACGTGGAAACCAACAGCAACGGCCTACCTTTGCCCCGTATGAGCCCCAGCGTGGCTCCTGTGGAGATGAGAACGAGAATGGGTGAACTATGAAATGAAGTGAGTACAAATATGAAACCCTAATTGGTTGTACCCCCTATGGGATACCCCACTATAGCCTACATAACAGCATAAGCTACAATGTTCTGACACACCCCCATAGGCAAAGTGGGGGAGAACAAGGGGTCACAAGACCAGTCAAGCAAAGCAAAGCAAAGGAAAGCTCAGGGTGGATCACAAAGTCACCACACAGTCCGAGCACAGGGTCAAGGCCACACGGCCAGTTCACATGCAAGAGTACACACATATATATAAAGCTAGACAAGCAAGAGCAGGTATATATATAGGTGAGAGTACAAGCAAGGTCAAGAGGAGAGCAAGTGAGGCAAGACGGGCACAAGACCCAGCTGAGTGCAGAAGCGCTGATGATCACAAGGCGGAAGTGCCTTGGTGAAGACATCAGCAGTGTTGGCCTCAGAGGCCACGTACGCAAGCCGCAACTGTCCACGTTGCTGTAGCTCACGAGCAAGGAAGTAGCGGAGAGCAATGTGCTTTGTTCTGTGCTCCAGTCGCTGCTCTCGACACAAGGCCAGCATGGCCTTGTTGTCTACGTACAGGACTGGAGGAGAACGAGGCGGCTCTCCGAGGTCAGTCAGCAGGTAGGTGAGCCAGCGAAGCTCCTGTGCAGCCATGGCCCCGGCGTAGATCTCAGCCTCACAACTCGAGCCAAGAACAGAAGACGAGCGAGTAGCCCGCCACGAAACAGAGCCGGAACCAAGGCTGAAGGTGTAACCCTGTGACGACCGCTGCGAGCCTGGTCGTCAGCCCAAGAAGCGTCCGCGTGCCCAGTGAGGACCACTGGACTCCGCCCTCCAAGCACTAGCCCCATGCCCGACGTACTGCACAAGTAGCGCAACACCCTCTTCGCTGCAGCCATGTGCTCTGGTCTGTGTCTCCCAGGAGCAACATAGCGTGCAAGAATGCTAAGAGGGTATGCAAGGTCAGGTCGTGTGCAGGTCATCAGGTACATGAGGCAGCCAACAAGCTCTGGGTACGGGCCACTCGACTCTACGGACTCATCCGAAGGCAGAGCTGAGAGCGAGTGGCGAGTAGACAGAGGAGTGGCCTGAGGCGAGGAGTACGTGAAGCCGAAGCGCTGAAGGACCTGCTGCACCATGTGTGCTGAGCCTGGGGGTGCTGAGCCTAGGGGTGCTGAGCCTGGGGGTGCTGAGCCTGGGGGTGCTGAGCCTGGGGGTGCTGAGCCTAGGGGTGCTGAGCCTGGGAGTGCTGAGCCTAGGGGTGCTACGTCCCCTAGCCGCCGAGCCGCCCAGCCGCCGAGCCGCCCAGCCGCCGAGCCGCCCAGCGGCCGAGCCGCCCTGCAGCCGAGCCACCCGAGCAGCCCTGTCCGGTGAGCACAGACCCTCTGTCACTGCGTGCTCTTCCCCTACTCCTTGCACTGCTGGTCTACTGCTGTCATGGCTACCCCTAGTGTCCTCACTTTTGACGCTGAGGGTCGGGCCATTGACTTTGAGGTCTGGGTAGATGACCTACAGCTGTTCTTACAGTGCGATAGGGCGGACGGCCTCTCTCTCTTTGACCTCACCTCTGGCGCTTCCCCTGCCCCTGCTGCTGATGCTGACGCCACTGTTCGCTCCCAGTGGGCCACGCGCGATGCTGCTGCACGTCTTGCTGTGCGTCGCCACCTCCCTACCTCCGAGCGTGCGCACTTTAGTCAGTACAAGAGTGCTCAGACCTTGTACGCCGCTGTAGTCGCGCGCTACTCCTCCCCTTCCACTGCTGCACTGAGCCGTCTCATGCTGCCGTACCTCTTCCCTGACCTTGCTTCTTTTCCCACCGTTGCTGACCTCATTACGCACCTCCGCACTAGTGACACTCGCTACCGCGCTGCACTTCCTGCTGACTTCTGCACCGCGAACCCCCCCCCCATGTACATCACTCTGTACTTCCTAGTCACTCGCCTCCCTGACTCCCTTCGAGTAGTCAGGGACCACTTTCTCTCAGTCTGTCCCACCACACTCACTGTAGACCTCCTCGAGAAGGCCCTCCTCGCGATAGAAAAGAGCATAGTCGCTGTAGGAGCCTCTCGAGGTGACCCGCGCACCCCCATCTTTGAGGGGTGTTCTCCCTCCCCCCTGCTGCCCTCTGTTGCCTCTGCTGCTTCGGCCGACCTTCTTGGTCTTGAGTCGGTCGGTGCGGCGTCTGCCCCTAGCGGGAGACGCCGCCCTGGCAAGGGCAAGGGGGGCAAGGGAGCTGGAGGAGCGGGCGGTGGAGGTGGAGGTGGAGGCAGTGGGGGGAGTGGGGGTAGCGGTGGAGGTGGAGGTGGGGGTGGGGGGTTCGGTGGCGGCAGTGGAGGCAGAGGCCGCGGCGGCGGTGGCGGTGGTAGCGGAGGTGGCGGAGGAGGCGGCGGTGGAGGAGGCGGTGGAGGCGGCGACGGCAGTGGAGGCAGCGGAGGCGGTGGAGGCGGTGGGGGTGGCGGTGGAGCTGGTCGCGGGTCTTTGCAGAGGAGTGGCTCCGGTGGTGGCTCGCGCCAGCAGCAGCAGCGTGGTCGTGCGACCCTGTCCCCTCAGCAGCTCCGTGAGTGGTACACTGCACGCCAGCGGGGTGGGGGTTTTGGTCCGTGTACCTACGTCCTGCGCACCGGCGACCGTGCGGGTGAGCAGTGTGGGGGTGCGCACCCCACTCCGCGCCGCTTTGGCCGCCTGACGGACGCATGGCGTCACCAGTTCCCGGAGGCCTCCGAGATCCCTCGCTGGGACGAGCTGTCTAGGGCGGGGGTTGCCATCTTTGATCTGGACTTTGATGCTATTCGCTCTGATACCATGTGGAGATGAGAACGAGAATGGGTGAACTATGAAATGAAGTGAGTACAAATATGAAACCCTAATTGGTTGTACCCCCTATGGGATACCCCACTATAGCCTACATAACAGCATAAGCTACAATGTTCTGACAGCTCCGTCAGCTTTATGCCACACCCGCAGCCTGCATCCGGACAAGAAAAGACGCTGGATGCACTTCAAGTTCAGTCGCAGTTCGCGCACGTCTTAAAACTGCAGACGACAAGGCCTTTCGACGGAAAGGATTTCTTTACCTGGTCATTCGAGTTCAAGTTAATGATGGAAGGCGCGCAGATTCTTGGCTTCTTCGACGGGTCCCTGCCATATCCAACACACGGCACACAGTACGACAAGCAGCAGTACACTTATAAGTCAATGATGGCGTACACAATACTGCTGAGAAATCTCACTTCAAGTCAGCAGCAGAACATACGGTCTTACCGGGGTTACGGCAACTCTGCAGAACTCGCGTACAACCACCTGAAGAACCTGTATCAAGCAACGGACAGCGTAAATCAAAGTCGGTTAATGGCGCAACTGACGACAGTCGAAATGAAAACAGGCGAAAAAGGGATGGCGTATATCAGCCGTTGTCGCGAATTGCGCGACAAACTCCTTGGATGCGGAGGGTCGATTTCAGAAGACGCCTTCGTCACAGTCA